CGGCTTAGGGTTTATTAATAGTAATGAGGCTATTGCTTAGTTGTTAAATAGTGTACTGAGTACTATCTATACTTGAGTCAAGTTCTTTATAAATTTAAAATGACTAAAGTACCTAAAACTAAAAAACACAAAAAACCATCGTCATCACCAAGTTCTCTAAACCTATAATTTACTAATATTCGTGGTCTTCGAAGTAATTTTTCTTCTGTTGAGTCTTATCTCTTGCAAAGTTCACCAGACCTACTTGCTCTTTGTGAGACTAATTTGAGTTCGGCTGTCCCATCTTGTGATCTTAGTGTTGATGGTTATCTTCCTTTAATTCGTAAAGACTCCAATAATCACATGCTTGGCCTGGGCATCTACATTCGTAAGAACTCACCCATTTGTCGTGAAACTAGGTTTGAATCTACAGACTATTCATTTATGTGCTTTCGTTTAGCACAACTCCACTCTATCGCCTTTCTCTTTGTTCTATATCGCTCTCCTTCATCCCAAGATTGCACCTATTTCTTGATGTTATTTCTGATCAAATTGACCAAGCCCTCTCTCTTTATCCATCGGCCAATATCGTCGTTGTTGGTGACTTTAATGCCCATCACACCAATTGGCTTGGCTCTAGTGTCAGTGACTCTGCTGGCCGTTAAGACCCTCAACTTTTGCCTTTCTCAATCTCTAACTCAAATAGTCAACTTTCCAACTCGTTTTCCAGACAACCCTAATCATTTACCTTCTCTACTCGACTTATGTCTTGTTTTGGATCCTAGTCAGTGCTCAATTTCTCCACATTCACCCTTAGGTACTTCTGATCACGGTTTGATCTCTCTAAAACTATTATCAAATTCTTCTACTTCATCAGAATCCCCCTATCATCGTACCACATACAACTACCTTAAAGCTGACTGGGACTCTTTCCGTGATTTTCTTCGTGATGGCCCTTGGGTAGAATTCTTTCGTCTTCCTGCTGACAAATGTGCTTCTTACATAACTTCGTGGATTCAGGCTGGCATGGAATCTTTTATTCCCTCTCGACGATTCCAGGTCAAGCCTCACTCTTCTCCTTGGTTTTCCTCACATTGCGCTGCAGCAATTTCTAATCGAAACCGTTACTTCCATATCTATCAGCAAAACAATTCTCCAGAAAACAGACATCTGTTCACTATCGCCAGAAACCATTGTAAAAAGGTTTTGTCTGACGCCAAAGCTCGCTATTCCCAGGTCATTAAATCTCGTATCTCATCACAAAAACTAGGCTCTCGAGACTTCTGGAGAATCTTTAACAGTATCAATAATAAGGGCAAATCTGTTATTCCTTCTCTCTTGTATGGTTCAGACTTTGTCACCTCACCTAAAGACAAAGCTGAATTGTTTGCTAAGAACTTTTCATCAATATCATCTCTTGATTCCACTAGTTGCGTTTTACCTGACATAGCCGTCAAACAGGTTGATCCCTTGCTTGACATTCGCATCACTTCAGCTTCTGTATCTAAAGTAATTTCCTGCTTAGACTCTTCAACAGCTTGTGGTCCTGACAATATTCCTGTTGTAGTCTTGCAGAGGTGTTCTCCGGAGCTTTCATCCATACTTTCTAAACTATTTAACAAGTGCTTATCAGAGTCTTGTTTTCCATCATGCTGGAAAGCAGCATCTGTTATCCCTATTTTCAAAAATTCCGGAGAGCGATCTGATTCATCTAACTACCGTCCCATTAGTCTTCTTCCTGTCATAAGCAAGGTTTTTGAATCTTTAATCAACAAACATCTCTCATCTTGAATCAAATAATTTACTTTCTGATCATCAATATGGATTTCGGTCTTCTCGTTCTACAGCTGATGTGCTAACAGTAATAACCGATAGGTTTTACCGTGCATTAGATAGAGGTGGAGAGGTTAAGGCTATCACACTTGACATTTCTAAAGCTTTTGATAAAGTTTGGCATGCTGGTCTTCTGCATAAGCTTTCTTCTTATGGTGTAGCTGGTAACGTCTTTAAGATTATTGAGTCCTTTCTTTCCAATCGTAGTATAAAAGTTGTCCTCGATGGACAACACTCTTCTTCACATCCTGTAACTTCAGGGGTTCCTCAAGGTTCAATCCTTGGCCCTATACTCTTTTTAATTTACATTAACGATCTTCCAGATATTCTCACATCTAAGGTGGCATTATTCGCTGACGACACTACCATTTACTCTTGTCATGATAAGAAGCCTACACTCTCTGATTGCTTGGGAGGGGGTATCTGAGCTTGAAAAGGATCTCACTTCTGCTACAGCATGGGGCTCACAGTGGCTGGTGAACTTTAATTCAGATAAAACTCAATTTTGTTCGGCCAATCGTTATCGTAATAATTTAGATCTTCCTATATTTATGAATGGTAATGTACTAGATGAGTCATCTACCATTCATCTTCTAGGATTAACTCTTACTTCTGATCTTTCTTTTAAACCGTATATCAAATCCATTGCAAAATTAGCATCTGCTAAGGTTGCATCTCTTTATCGAGCTTGACACTTTCTTTCTCCAGATTCTATTCTCTATCTCTATAAATCTCAAATCCGTCCCTGTATGGAATACTGTTGCCACATCTGGGGCGGATCTTCTAATGATGCTCTTTCTCTTTTAGACAAGGTGCAAAAACGAATTGTAAACATAGTTGGACCTGCTCTGGCAGCCAATCTCCAACCTTTGTCACATCGTCGTAATGTTGCTTCTCTTTCTCTTTTCTACAAATACTATAATGGGCACTGCTCTAAAGAGCTAGCGTCCCTTGTGCCATCTACTAAAATTCATTCTCGTGTTACTCGCCATTCAATTAAGTCTCATCCTTTTTCTGTGACTGTTCCTAAGTGCTTCAAAAACTCTTATTCTTCTAGTTTTTTTTCTCGAACATCAGTTCTTTGGAATTCGCTTCCTTCATCTTGCTTTCCTGATTCATATAATTTGCGATCTTTTAAGTCATCAGTCAATCGTTATCTTGCTCTACAGATTTAGTCTTTTCTCTTCCAGTAACTTCCAACTCTTATAGTGGTTGCTTGCAGCCTTGTTGGAAGTGAAGATGTTAAAAAAAAAATGTATATATATATAATATATATATATATATATATATATATATATATATATATACATACATATATATATAAACACACACACACACACACACACACATATATATATATATATATATATATATATATATATATATATATATATATATATACACACACACACACACACACACAATATATATATATATATAAATAAACACACACACACACACACACATATATATATATATATATATATATATATATATATATATATATATATATATATATATATATATATATATATATAGGTACGCGCACTGAAATTTTTAAATTAATCATATAGTACAATGTTATATATCATTAGAAAGGCCTTTGATACAGTATTTTAAAGGTGAAAAAATTATTAAAAACGAACAATTCTAAAAAAAGTTATAACGTTTTTAGTACCAAATTTAAGATATATGGAATTGTTGAAGAAACTGTGGTCAAAATAATTATTTTTTTCACTTAAATTGTTATAACTTTGTCAATTTTTATCCAAATACCTATATCTTGGTATCAAAAGATAGCTGCACTAATGGGCTACAAGTTTATATAGGTGCCTGGACGTAGGGTGTATCTTGGGAGCCAGAGGGGGTAATGAAACACCATCTAACCCTTAAGAAAATACAAGTTTTTGTCAAAAATAAGCACTTTTTTAATGTAATTGTTAGATTTTATACATAAAATATTGCCATAACTTGATTCCAGAACACTGCCAAACAAAATAAGGTGATCTTAGAGTTGGCCGTAGATGTGGTTATGATGTTATAACACCCTAATACAATAATCATACATTCTAATAAATAATTTAATCTTTATTACAGTAATTAAATATTTTGTTAAAAAGTAAAAATATATTTTTTTACTATACAACATACATTAGTGATGTGCACACTAACTTTAGGGAAGGGCGTATGTCGCCCCGCCCCCCCCCGCCCCAACGCATAACAAAAAATAAAAATAATTAAATCTTTATTACAATAATAATAATTAAATCTTTATTACAATAATAATAATTAAATCTTTATTACAACTTTATTACTATTCAACATATATTATTGATGTACCCATTGACTTTAAATAAAGGAAGTCTAATGCACCACCTCTCTCCCCCCCCCTACCTGATAAAAAATAACGTCATCTTTATTTCAATAATCAAATGTATTGTTAAAAAGAAAAAATAATCTTTTATAACTATACAACATACATTAGTATTGAAAATATTGTTGTATTACATGAAGCAATATTTTTTTTCTATAGAACATACATTAGTGATGTACAATTTGAGGAGAGGGATGGTTTTCCCCCTTCCCCTCAACCAACGTAAAAAAGAAAACACATAGAAATGATATTTTCAACATTTTCGCATGCAATTATTAAAAAAAGAAAGCACAATACAGAATTGTTTTACCAGATCGCATGAGTATACATTTTCTCATTTAAATGATCATATTTAACCAACCAACCTTTTAAAAAACAAACAAAAAAAAAACAAATGTTTCGAAACATAGTAATTAATTTATGTCTTGGCTTTTAGTAAATGATTTAAATTAAGTTCCAATGCAACTAAATAAATCATTTTTAACAATAGACACCACGTGAAGGTAAGCCAGAGCCGTCTATCTTTTTTTTTTACAAGCCACAAAACTTGCTATACCTATTTGCAAGCCACAAAACTTGCGGTACTTATTTGCAAGCCACAAAACCTGCGGTACACATTTGCAAGCCACAAAACTTGCTGTACCTATTTGAAAGCCACAAAACTTGCTGTATCTATTTGCAAGCCACAAAACTTGCGGTACTTATTTGCAAGCCATAAAACTTGCGGTATTTATTTGCAAGCCACAAAACTTGCTGTACCTATTTGCAAGCCACAATACTTGCTGTACCTATTTGCAAGCCATAAAACTTGCGGTACACATTTGCAAGCCACAAAACTTGCAGTATCTATTTGCAAGCCACAAAACTTGCTGTACCTATTTGCAAGCCACAAAACTTGACTTAATTATTATACTAACTATTTTAAAATAAAATTACAAAGTTGTAAAAAAAAATCAATATTGCAAATAACAAGAAATGCATATACATATTAAATGTAATAGTTTATTAAATTACTAGTTGCAGCAGATGACTAAGGAACTAAAGTTAAACATATTATAAAGTTTGCACATTAAAAACTAATAGTTGTTTAATTTACCAGGTGTAGCACAAGAGGTAGATACTAAAATTACAAAGTTGTAACAAAAAATCAATATTGCAAATAACAAGAAATGTATATACATATTAAATGTAATAGTTTATTAAATTACTAGTTGCAAAAGATGACTAAGGAACTAAAGTTAAACATATTATAAAGTTTGCACATTAAAAACTAATAGTTGTTTAACTTACCAGGTGTAGCACAAGAGGTAGATACTAGAATTACAAAGTTGTAACAAAAAATCAATATTGCAAATAACAAGAAATGTATATACATATTAAATGTAATAGTTTATTAAATTACTAGTTGCAAAAGATGACTAAGAAACTAAAGTTAAACATATTATAAAGTTTGCACATTAAAAACTAATAGTTGTTTAACTTACCAGGTGTAGCACAAGAGGTAGATACTAAAATTACAAAGTTGTAACAAAAAATCAATATTGCAAATAAAGAGAAATGCATACACATATTAAATTTATTATTTTTTTAAATTACTAGTTGCAGCAGCTGACTAAGGAACTAAAGTTAAACATATTATAAAGTTTGCACATTAAAAACTAATAGTTGTTTAACTTACCAGGTGTAGCACAAGAGGTAGATACTAGAATTACAAAGTTGTAACAAAAAATCAATATTGCAAATAACAAGAAATGTATATACATTTTAAATGTAATAGTTTATTAAATTACTAGTTGCAAAAGATGACTAAGAAACTAAAGTTAAACATATTATAAAGTTTGCACATTAAAAACTAATAGTTGTTTAACTTACCAGGTGTAGCACAAGAGGTAGATACTAAAATTACAAAGTTGTAACAAAAAATCAATATTGCAAATAAAGAGAAATGCATACACATATTAAATTTATTATTTTTTTAAATTACTAGTTGCAGCAGCTGACTAAGGAACTAAAGTTAAACATATTGTAAAGTTTGCAAATTAAAAATTAAGAGTTATGTAACTTACCAGGTGTAGTACAAGAGGTAGATACTAAAATTAAAAAATTAATATTGCAGCAAATGGGAAATCCATACACGACAAGTAATAAATAAATAAGAAATGCATATTTATTTATATTTCTTTAATGGTTAATTAAAGTTATGATATAATAACTTACCAGCTGTAGTCTGTGCAAATTGGCCTAAAGATAACAAAAAAGTTATATAATCAAAAAAAAAAAAAAAAACATCTTGAAATTGTCAACAGTCAATAAAAATAACAGTTATCAAATCAGTTCTGCTTTACGTACAACAACCTATGTAACTAAAAAAAAAGCAATAAAAAAAAATAATAAAAAACATAAATTATATTACTGTATTTTAAAATTATATTACTGTATATTAGAAAAACACTAACAAGATACTTTTATAAGAATAAACATATTATTGTAAAAGTATCTTTATAATTTTACAAAAATAAGCTTATTAATAATAAGCTTATTCATATAAAAATATCAATAATAATATTTTAAAATATCAATAATAATATTATTCTTAAAATATCAATAAAATCATAATATTATTCTAAAAAAATAATAATGTTATTCTAAAATTATCATTAATAATATTATTCTAAAAATATTTTGTCAAAAACTGTATTGGCTTAAGCCAATAAAGTTTTACTTTAAAGTATAACAATGTCATTTGTATATTTTTATATATATGGTGTATTAACAACATTGGCATCTGATACTATTAGTTAATAAAATATTCCAAAGTAACGATTTAATCTTAAATCCTAATCTTTTTTAATATATACTATCATTGGTATAACTTATACCAAAGATTAAGGTTTTTAAACTTATACTATAAGTTTAAAAACCTTAATCTTTGTTTACATATCATGATGATATGTAAACAAAGATTAATGTTTTAAAACTTATAACTTTTTTAAAAAACAAAACAATAATGATAAGTTTAAAAACCTTAATCTTTGTTTACATCATGATGATGTAAACAAACTTTGTTATTTTCATGAAAAACAAATTAACTTACTTTTTGAAGTCTTCTTTGTTATGACTTTTACCATTTTTTATTTATTAAAATAATCTAATATTAAAAATTAAATAATACAATGTAGTAAGAATTTTTTTGTTTACCATTCGCCACCCCCCTATCCTCCCCGTATTTCTCATACTGATAAAACAAAAACAAAAACAAAAAAAACAGAATTTAGGTACCAAAAGTCCTACACTTCTTATACTATCTGCTCCCTAATATTTTTGGCTGAAATTTGGCATTTACAAAGAAAATGCATGCAAAAAAGTTCCTGAATAACAAAAAAAGCGGAAACTTCATTCCTTCGATAAGAACTTAATGTGAGAACATCAACGAAATTTTCATGAAAGTTTTTAGCAAAACTAACCATAAAAAAGTTTAGTGGTTATAAATAAAAGTACTATAAAAATCAAGCCTAACCTTTCTTCTTTCCAAATATACTTTTTGTTTATATATGTTTATATAACTCAAAAAAGCAGTATATTTAAAAAAGCACCTCGTTACATATCTGCTCCCTAATATTTTTCGTTGAAATTTGGCACATAAATAGAAAATAAATGTATAAAGGTGGCTGAACAATCAAAAAAGCGGAAACTTCATGCCTTCAACTACAAATTTATGTGAAAACATCAACCAAATATTCAGGAGCAAAATAATCCGTTAAAAAGTTTATATATATATATATATATATATAAACACAGATATATATATATATATATATATATATATATATATATATATATATATAAACACACACACATATATATATATATATATATATATATATATATATATATATATATATATATATATATGTGTGTTTATATATATATATATATATGTGTGTGTGTGTGTGTGTGTGTTTATATATATATATATATATATATATATATGTGTGTGTGTGTGTGTGTGTGTGTGTGTGTGTGTGTGTGTGTGTGTGTGTGTGTGTGTGTGTGTGTGTGTGTGTTATATATATATATATATATATATATATATATATATATATATATATATATATATATATATATATATATATATATATATATATATATATATATATATATATATATATATATATTATTGATGTTATTATGTGTCAAAATCTTCTCAAAGTGTTTTCATTTAAGAGTAAACTTACTATTTTAATCTTGATACTTAAGTATAGCAATATTTTTCCTGTTCTTCTCGTGATGCAATATGTGTTAAATTAATTACAACCACTTCTTCTTGTAATTCAATTCGTAATGTTGAATAAAAGAATTTTATTACTCTTACCACTTCTTCTCGTGATATTATCTGTTTCAAAATAAATTACCAACACTTTTTCTCCTGATCCACTCTGTAAATGTTGAATTAAAAATACTTTTCCTACTTCTTCTCTTTTCATAATTTAAAACTTTTATTTTGAACTCTTATTTGTTTTTGTAAAAAAATTAATAACATAAGGATGCCTGTTTATGTAAAGAGATGCTATTATTTACATTTAAACACATTTAACAAAACTAAAGGACATAATAAATATTCCTTTATGTTACGCATGCGTACCATATATGTAAAATTTAACATAAAGCCAATACTGGCAAACAATATTTCGCCAATATTGGCATAACAATATCAGTAAAACGATAATGGATAATATTGGCGTAATATTGTTAGCCAATATTGGTAAGACAATATTGGCGTAATATTGCTTGACAATATTGGCGCAATATCGGATATCTTGGCCAAGATTAGCCAAGATACCCAATATCGTGCCAATATTACGCCAATATTGTTTGCTACTTGGGTAATACAAATACTAACAATTACTTTCTAGGTCTGTGTTTTATCAGGAATTCCAAGTCTTATTTTGGAATCATATTGAATAACGCTAGCCGTTGACTTTATTAGTGTTTGTGTAGCTGGAGTTTAACTTGAAGTTCTTGTTATGAAAATATATATGTATTATCATGTCTAAACAGTTTGAATAACTGAATTCAAGGAATTTTGTAGATGTGGAGTATAGAAAAATAATCCAGCATGGAAGTACTAGATTTCTTTCTCTGTTAACCGCAGTTGAAAGAATTTTGTATATGTATGAGGCCCTGAAGTCATACTTTGTTTCTCATGAAAATTATCTACGTGCTTTGCAAGCATTATATATATATATATATATATATATATATATATATATATATATATATATATATATATATATATATATATATATATATATATATATATACATATATATATATATATATATATATATATATATACATATATATATATATATATATATATATATATATATATATATATATATATATATATATATATATATATATATATATATATATATATATATATATATATATATATATATATATATATATATATATATATATATATATATATATATATATATATATATATATATATATATACAAATCATAACTAACATAAAGATCAAAACTTTATGTTTAAAAATTACATTAAACAAAATCAAAGTTATACATTTAAAAAAATATCCCTACAAAGTGCAAGAAACAGAAAATGGGAAGACGACGCAATGCTACGCTCAGAAATAAACAATCAGTTTATTTCTGAGCGTATTATTTATTTATATTATTTAGTTGTAGATATTTCATACCGACAAATTGTATAAGTAGGATCTGGTTGTTCCAGAAGTGAATATTGGTGAAATAGATGTTGAAACTTGGTGAAATAGATGTTGACACGTATTTAATTTAATAACTTTTGAGTCATAGTGTATTGACATATAATACAACAATATTTCAATTCCGTTTTATTGCTGGTGCATACAAATGCTAAATTTGATATAATTAACTTATTTAAATGTCCCAGAATACCTTTTATGATAAGCTTGTATAAATAAAACATAAATCATAATATGTAATTGAGATAACATACATTTACAGTTTATGTTATCTCAATTACATAATACGATTTCTAAATTACATGTTATGTTTCTTAATTATACATTGCGATTTCTATATTGTTGTTTCTTAGTTAAATTTTACGAACTCTAAATTACATTGTGTTTCTCAATTAAATATCACAATTTCTTATAATTTCAACTTTTATGTTCTCAATTACACCTTAAAAAGGTGTCTATGAAAGACAGTAATGATTTTAAAGCAAATTTCTCACATGGAAACAACTATTTCAATTAATGGTACTTGTCAAACTTGATGACAATTTAGATAAAATCTTGTTTGATGACATTGCTGGAAACAAATTTTATTGCTTATCAAAGGACCTCTCTCTTTTTCAAGAAACATTTTATTTCGGTCTATGAATGAAAATGGTGAACGTAGCAATAAAACAATTTTAATAAAAATTGTTGGTATTACGTAGCAGAAAACACTTATGTTTTCCTTACTTTAAAAATAACAACCAAAATTACAGTAATCGGAAACATTTTAAGATATAAGCAGCATAAAACTAAAAATGTTTAAATTTAACTAAACTACAATAAATCTTTAACTAGTAAACCAATCTATCTGAAATTTTATTCAGAGTATGGTATGGCCACAGGCTACAATTGCACTAACTTTATATTCTATATACTTTATTAACTATATACAGTGAAAATAAAGTAAGAGAATTTTTAAATAATAAACTTCAGCTACACGGAAAATTTGAAATTGAAAGAGCACATCGAGTCGGAAAGAAACTACCTGAAAACAATAAAAAAAACAGATCGATCGTAGTCAGATTTCTTAACTACAAAGACAAAGCCACGATATTAAGAAAATACACGACGATGAAATTGTGGACTCAAAAGGTTTACATAAATGAAGATTATAGTGATCATACGATGGAATTGCGAAAAAAACTCCTGAATGAGGCAAAAGATTTAAGGGCAAAGGGTAAGTACGCTAAAGTTATATATAATAAATTAATCACACGGGATTTATAAAAGAAATTCTTTGATCTTATTTCGATTATGAAAAAACAAAAATAAAATGGATTCTAACGAAACCTTAAATTTTGAGTCTAGTTTTTATAATTTTTTTCAAACAAATGATTTCTTATTAGATGATGAATCTGATCCTGATCTTAATTATTTTTCTAATTCTGGTGCTTTGCAAAATAAATGCAACTACTTTTATACCCATGAAATTAAATGATTTCTTGATCAAAATAATATTAACACAATTCACATTAATATCCGCAGTTTAAAAAAAAATTTTGAAATCTTTCGTAATTTTATTGAAGAAACTTGTAATCTATTTAATATAATTTGCTTAACAGAAACATGGTGCAGTTCGGATGACGTAAATTTTTTTACCAATTTTGAACTGCCGGGTTTTAATGTAATTTCATTAGCACGAAAAACAAATAAGCGTGGCGGAGGCGTTCTTATTTATGTTAAAAATAACTTACGATATTTTACCCGGCATGACATGAGCATCTCTGATGCTGATAAAGAGGTTTTAACGATTGAAATTTTAATTAATAAAATAAAAAATAAAATTCTAAGTTGTTGTTATCGCCCACCTTCAGGTGAAATTAAAAATTTTAATTCGTTTTTATGTAATGACGTTATTAAAAAAAGTAACCACGAAAATAAATTTATCTACTTAGTGGGTGATCTGAATTTAGATTGTTTTCAATACCACGTCAATAATAACATTAAAAGGTTTTATAATGGCATTTTTGAAAATGGTGCGATTCCCTTGATTAGCAAACCGACAAGAATTACTCAATCAAGTGCCTCTTTAATTGATAATATTTTAACCACTGATGTTTTTAACGAATCCTTAAAAAAGGGCATAATTAAAAATGACATATCTGATCATTTTCCTATTTTCTTTTCTATAAATATAGATAATAAATTAGTTCCTAATGAAAAACGAGTTTTCAAAAAGCGATTTTTTACAAATGAAAACCTTAAATCTTTTAAGGAACAATTATCTCTAATTGATTGGAGCATTATTAACACCTCTGATGATATAAACTTAGTTTATAACTCCTTTTTTAAATCTTTCTATGATATTTATGAAACTAATTTCCCTGAAGTTAATTTAAATCTCAAAGCTAAAAGTATTAAATCGCCTTGGATTACAAAGGGTTTGCGGAAGTCTTCAAAAATTAAACAAAAATTATACATTAATTACTTAAAATCTAAAACAAATGAAAATAAAATTATATATAAAAATTACGCTAAACTTTTTGAAAGCCTCAAGAAAAAACAAAAAAAAAATTATTATTTAAATTTACTAAATATATATAAATTAAATTTTAAACGCACTTGGTTTATAATAAGAGAAATTACTGGCAGCAAAAAATGTACATCTCACTCTTTGCCAAACACGGTTAAACATAATAATGAATTTTTATATGATAAAAGACAAATAAAGGAAGAATTTAATAAATATTTTGTGTCTGTAGGACCAAATCTGGCAAAAAGAATTCCTATAGCTAACGGTTTAATGAATGATCTACGTTTCCCTCTAAACTCTTACTTGAACTCTTTTGAATTATCTTTTGAAGAGTTTGAAAATGCCTTTAAAATGTTAAAATCTAACAAAGCAGTAGGCCCTGATGGTATTAATGGCAACATTATTATAAGTTCATTTGATGTTTTAAAAGATATACTCTTTAAAATTTTTTCAATATCAATTAAACAGGGAATTTTTCCACATGCTCTAAAATTAGCAAAAGTCATACCAATATTAAAAAGTGGTGACATTGAGAACATAAGTAACTATCGTCCAATTTCACTCCTTTCTGTATTCTCTAAAGTTTTAGAAAGAATTTTGTACAATAAAATTTATAGTCATCTTACTTTAAACAATTTATTATGCAGCAATCAATATGGATTCTAAAAAAATAATTCTACTGAACATGCCATTCTACAATTTACAAGAAATATATCTGACTCATTTAAAAATTCTCAATTTACTTTACGTGTTTTCATTGATTTGGCGAAAACTTTTGATACTATAGACCACAAAATTCTTTTTAAAAAGTTGGAGTGGTACGGAATTACTGGAAAAATATTAATTTGGCTAAAAAGTTACCTAAATAATCGAAAACAATTTGTTTATGCGAATGATAACGTATCATCTAGTTTGTTAAATATTTCATGTGGAGTTCCTCAAGGATCCATATTAGGACCTCTCCTATTTTTAATATATATTAATGATCTACCAAAAGCTTCTAACCTAATGACAATTATGTTTGCTGATGATTCTAACCTATTTCTTTCTCATAATAACATTTTTACACTTTTTAGCAATATGAACATTGAACTAGTCAAAATTTCCGAATGGTTTAGATTAAACAAACTATCACTAAATATTGATAAAACTAAATGGATTCTTTTTCATCCTTATGGTAAAAAGCACCAGCTGCCTAGCAACTTACCTTTTCTATTTATCGATAACATAGTTATTAATAGAGTTTTAGTGACAAGATTTTTAGGTGTATATATCGATGAAAATCTTACATGGAAATGCCACATTGCTAACTTGTGCAGTAAAATTTCAAAGAGTATAGGCATTTTATACAAAATAAGAAACGTTCTTGATAAAAATACCTTAGTTCAATTATATTATTCGTTAATTCATTGCCATATCAACTATGCAAACATTGCTTGGGGTAGCACTTATAAGAGTAAACTTAAACCTCTCTATCGGCAACAGAAGCATGTAGCACGCCTTATAAATTTCAAGGACCGTTTTGCTCACGCCAAGCCTCTTTTATATGATATGAAAGCACTCAATATATATGAGTTAAATGTTTTTAATATTCTTTGTTTTATGTATAAATGCAAGACCAACCTATCACCCGTTTCTTTTCGTAACTTGTATTTACAAAGAGATAGAAATAAATATATTCTAAGGAACGATAACTTAATTCGACAACCATTTTCTCAAACTAATTTTTGAAAATTTTTTATTTCATTTCGCGGACCATTTTTATGGAATAGTATAGTTTTAAATACTTCTAAAGATTTTTCTCAAGAGTGTAATTTTGATTCTTTTAAACAAAATCTTAAAAAACTCATTTTTTCAACTGAAAATATACTAATCTACTTTTAAATTTTTGAAAATCACTTGTCTATATTAGTATATGAATATATTTAATGTACATTCATTTTTATTTATTTATTTTTTTATCAACAAGCAATTATTTAACATGTTTTATTTTAGTGAATTATTTAACATGTTTTAGTTTTTAAGTTTTAGAACTCTTCTATTGTAATATTGTATGTTTATTTATAATATTATATTACGAACTTTATATACTTTTATTAATAAATTTAATTTTGTAATAAAAAAAAACTGAACAAAAATAAATAAATACAAAGAATGAAAACATTGAAAAAAAAAAAAAAAAAAAAAAAATTAAAAAAAAAAAAAAAAAACGTTCAAAAGCGGTTTCTCTGTGACAAGACCTGATGGTCTTCTTTGAGTATCCGCGTTCTTTATATTTATTAATATTCTTTATATTATTATACTATTCTTAACGATATCTTGACTTGTTACCTTTTATTTTTTTATTTTTTATATCATTTGTATCTGTATCATAAATATTGTAATAAAGAACAAAAAAAAAAAAAAAAAAAAAAAAAAAAAAAAAAAAAAAAAAAAATTCAGAAACTAATAATTTTATTCTAGAATAAAAAATATATATTTATATCTTTTTAAACAAAGTTACAAAGTCTCTATTTTGACAATTGGTTTATTCATAAAAATAGTTTCATTTGCATGCAAAAATAAAGGGAAAAATAAGAAAGAATAAAGGAAAAAATTAAATTAAAAATTAAAAAAAGAGAATATTGAAATTAAATTGAAATTTGAAAAACTCAAAAAACTCAAATACTTAAAGCCCATAGCCGATCTTTTACCAAATTACCCTAATCCATAGTTTATTTGGAATGCCGATTAATATAACTTAGTTCCTTAAAAACCTTAGAATGACTTTAAAACAATAAAAAAAATAAACTATTTTTCGCCATTGAAATTGACCATGAAACTGAAAACAGATTATCGGAAAACAAGTTATTTAAATTTTTCGTATTTTATTCAAAATATTTATAAATACTTGCTCAATGCAGTTCAATAATGAATGTTGATAGTTAACAAAATAAATCCTAATAAAATTTCAAAATAAATTAAAACAAATATAAATAACAAATACTTCAAATTATTTTAAATTATAATATTTTCGAAAGCACAATATTAACTATACATATAAAAGTAACAATGCCAAAAAGTTTTATATTGCTCCATTGAAAATCTTCATTACTATTTTTATTTTCTAAAGCGTCAACTGAAGGAGTAGGTTTAACGCTTTTTCGATTACTTAAATTTTGTATAATTGGAGAATCGGGAAGCTCTTCGTCTAAAAGCTCGATATTATTAAAATATGTCATTCTGGAGCTTTGATATTTTTCCTATAAAAAATAATTACAATTTTTTATCACACAATTTATTAAAAAAAAATATCTACAAAAATATTCATATTATTTACTGTATAAACTTTCCCAAGACGGAACAGCACTACAGTCAAAGAAGCAAATTATTATTTATTTTTTTCTGGTTGTTATAAACTTTTCACAACCCATCAACTTCAAAACCCAAAAAACAAATTGATCGCAGTACGTACCAGGTACGTCGTGAAGATCAAACTTGGTACCTTTTGCCACAAAACTCAAAAAAAAATTTTTGTAGTAAAACAAGTTTGAAGTTGAACTAAAAAGTAAGAAACTCTTTTCGAATACTTTATTAACTTTTAACTAAATCATTTTCAGTCGAAGTTGTTTAAGCTTATAAGGGTAGAGGATATATTATATATATTTATTATTTATATTTATGTTAATTTTATTCTTGAATAAAATAAAAATAATTAATTAAGTACTTATATTGTCCAGCCAATAAAATCATGAATGTAAAATCGGTAGTGATGTACCGATTAATCGGTATCGGCATCGGCATAATCGGCCATTTTTTGCCCAATCAGAATCGGTATCGGCTTTTTTTTTACCGATTTTCCAACCGATGGCATTTTAATATTTTTATGCTGCATTATTATAATAATTAAATAATAAACAAACTAAACTTTGTGTATTACTTAAAATTTTTCGGGTAAATTTTTTTTTTGACTTTGTTTACAGGCAAAAGCTTTAAAAGTAACCTATTTAAGCATTGTTATCTATATATTTTGAAATCTTTTTTACACCCAATAAGGCTTCAAGCAACTACTATCAAGTTGGGAGTTGCTAGAAAAAGAGTAGAGTTATAAAGCAATGAATTGGTTGACAGAAGAATTAAAAAGTTGAAGGTTGTATGAATCAGGAAAACATAAAGATGAGACAGAGTTCCGAAAGGTTAAAGCGCGTGGAAATAAGTTAGACAAATAAAGGTTTTTGGAACATGAAGAGACAGATACAGTCGAAGAATGAGACTTGGATGAATGACAAGTCAAACGAGAATGAGTTTTGGTTGATGGAACTAGAGATGAAAGTTCCTTTGAGCAGCAACCATGATAATATTTGTAAAAAAGAGAAAGAGATGCAACTTTACGACGATAGGAAAAAGGCTCAAGCTCAGCAGATAGACCGGGTCCAACTCTTTTTACAATGCGTTTTTGGACCTTATCTTGAAGAGAAAGAGTATCATTAGAAAAATCAGCCCAAATATGATAACAGTATTCCATACAGAAAAGAGTAATAGATTTGTTGAGGTAGGGAATAAAATCAAGAGAAAAAATGGCGAGCATGATAAAAAGAAGCAACCTTAGCAGATGCTAATTTAGCAATCAATTGTATATATGGTTTTCATGAAAAGTCAGTTGTAAATGATAATCCAAGAAGACGTAAAGAAGTGGAATCAGTGAGAGGGTTGCCATTCATCAATATAGGAATGTCGACAGTACTGCAATAGTTATTTGTCTGACAGCAAGTTATTTGGTTCAAGATGGAATGTGAAAAATTTGTTTATCAAAAATTTAAAGACCTTGCTAATAACAGAAAAAAGACTGGTAGGAAAATAACCGGAAGGGTCAGTATGTTTACCTGAGTTTTTAAAAATTAGAACCACAGATGCCATTTTCCAGCAGGCAGGAAAATAAGATTCAGTCAAGCACTTTTTGAATCAGCAACAATATTGAAGAGAGTTCTGGAGAACAATTTAGAAGACTGTGACAGGAATGTTGTCTGGAACACAAGCCATAGAAGAGTTTAATCAAGATATGACTATGAGCAATGGAAGCTAAAAGGATTTGAATGTCTAACAATGGGTTAACTTTTTTAATTAGAATGGAAAGAAGAGAACGGCCATAAGATTCGAGAATCGGATTAGAAGAGAATTTCTTTGGATAAGATATTTAAAAAAAACTAGTAGTGGAAACGACTCACACTTAAAAACAGACCTCCAAAACAATATTAAGTTGAACACCATACACAATAAATAATACAAAATAATATACCCTCTAAAAAAATAAAGGTAGAAATTTTTATGTTAGGGTAAAATATGTCATATACCCTTAGCAAGGTATAATTTTCTATCTTTTGAGGTAAAAAATTATATTAAAAAAACAAACTGTCATACAATATTCTATTATAAATGTATTATTTTCTACCTATTAAAATTATACTTCACTAATAGTATATTACATATCCTACCTAATGTAGTAATTTCTACCTTTTTTTTAGAGTGTAGTTATACATAGATATGTTATTTTTTTTAGAGTGTAGTTATACATAGATATGTTATTTGATTATATTAATTCCTATCAAAATCTTAAAAGGAACTAAAACCTGATCACTCATTGCTTAGATCATTTGTTCCTTTCTTCATCTTTATTTTGTTTAATGTAAGTTTTTTATTTTTTGCATGATACAGGCTTTAATATCCATAACAATTTTATGATTATTCATATTTATTTTATGACAAGTTCTTGAGTATGTACTGCACTTATTACCTAATTTATTTACTTTTTTCATTTAGTTCTCTGTGAACTTAGTACTAGTATTGTTTTTATTGACATTTTTATAAATTATAGAACAATTATGTTCTAAGTTTGTTGGTTCCTGTGAGTTATTGGATAATTATAAGCTTATACTATTTTTTGAAAGGAACCGACTACATTGACCAAGTGAAATCAATATTTCACTTTACAAAGAAACTATTTTATCTAAGTTTAAACCTTAACAACTCATAATTTACTAATTACATAAACTTTCAACCCCACTAGGAATAGTAAGTATCATGAATTAAACAGGGACAGCGAGGCAAAGGCTATTACCTTAAAATATCTATAGCTTTTGATAAAGTTTGGCATGCAGGTCTTCATATGGTTTATCTGGGAAAATTTTGGAGATTATCAAACCATTTTCTTCTAACCACAGTATTAGAGTTATCTTCAAAGGATGTTCTTCATTTTCATTAACTTCTGGGGTAACAGAACTTACTGAAAATGAAGTACTTTATTAATGAATTGCTCTCAATGAGTCCTCTTCTTTACTTCTTCTAGGATCATCATTCACTACAGACCTCTCATGGAAAACATATATACAATTGATTGCAAAGTTAGGAACTGCTAAGGTTGCTGCTCTTAATCATGCTTCCCATTATTTTACTCCTGCGTCCATTCTCTACCACAAGAAATCTCTTGTGGTAGAGAAACTGTCTCTGTATGGAATACTGTTATCATGTTTAGGCTGGTTCTGTTAATGGTCTTTTTCTTCTAAACAAGGTCCTGAAAGTTGGGTTATAAACCTAGTTAGACCTGCTTTATCTGCCAAGCTTGAGCCACTCTTCCAATAACGTAAGGTTGCATCTCTTTGTCTTTTCTACAAATAGTATGATAATCGTTGCTTAAAGGGTTGCTATCATCTTTAGTTCCAGCAACCAAAACTCATTCTCCCTTGACTTGACATTTAACAAAGTTGCACTTTTACTGTATTTGTCCTTTCATACTTATAAAATTTTTTATTTATCTAGCTTTCTTCCACCACATTTCAATGCTTTGGAACTTTCAAAATTTCCTTCAACTTTTCAAGTCTATGTCAACCATTTCCTGCTCTTTTATTTTATTTTTTGTTTTCTAGTAGCTCCCAAATTAATAGTGGTTGCTTGAAGCCTTGTTGAAAGTGAGTTACATTAAAAAAATACAAAAAACAATAAACATAAAAACGATCAATAAACATAAGTTATGTTTTTTTATAGCATTTTGAGCACTGTTCACTTTAAAAACAACAATTTGCAGCCAGAGTTATTTAGAAAAACCCACATAACTATTTTTAATAAATATTTATAAAAACAAAACACTCTTTTTACAACTTTTTATATCCTATTATTTTATATAATACTTTTTTGTATTTTTGGCACTTTAATAATATACTAACTTTAAGGGCCTATTAAATCTCTAAGGGTATTGAAGCACCCCTAAAAATATTTAAAAAAACCTTTCAAATGAAGCATTTTATCATAAAAAACACATTAGGAAGCAAGCTGCAGATACTTTTTGAAAATTTTGTTTTTTGAATCACCCTACTCTTTACCCTCCACAAGTTGTTGACAAAATTCTTAGTTTTTTTACTCTAACAAATATTGTATGTATACCAAAGTTTAACAATTCAGCTAAAAAGCAATAATAATACTAGCAAAAATAAATTAAAAAAAAAAAAAAAAAAAGATTATAAAAGTACAAGAAACAAAAATTACTTTTGCATCTAAAACAGCTGTTTTCCACTTTTCTTGTTCACCTACTGAAGTTTGTAAGATAAATGCTGTTGATAAAACACCATATTCGTTAAGATAAACAAATAAAATAGAGTTGGAATCTTTGATATCCCTGATGACAATTTTATTAAGACGATATGGAGGACGAATGATTCTATATCGATCAATCTTTTTTTTTAATTTTGTAACAACCAACAAATCGGTGAAAAGAAAGACTTGAACCTCTTTCTAAAGATGTATAGTATATTTAAAAAATATGAAGTATTTGTATAAAAATATATTTTATAGTATATTAAAATATATAGATTTAAAATAAACTTTATTTTTAAAAGTGATTATTTTAAATTTACTTAAAATTAATTTTTGCATCATTAAATAACGTTTCCAAATACATTTATTTGAAGAAATCAAAACCTAATGGCTTTTTAAATAATTTTTGGTAGACTAATTTAATTTTTAAATAAAACATTTATATTCAGCATTAAAAAAAACAAAACATTTCAAGCTTGCTAAATATATTAAAAATGACTTGAAAAAACTATTATGCATGTTGCATAAAAGCATTTATAATTCCGACTTAGTGTTCCTAATTTTTAACAAATATTTGTAATATTTTAAAATAAATTTTCATTTGTTGAAACCTTTTGCAAAACCAGATCTACTTGTTCTTTGTGAAAATAATTTGAATTTATTTATAACATCTTCTAAATAGTCTTTTTATCTTTCTCGCAATCATTCTTTTAACTAATATTAGCAAAGTTTCTCATCTACATTATGATCAACATTACTTCATGATAATCTTACCTCTAAAGTGACTCTTTTTGCTGATGAAAACAATCTATCTTATAAAACCTTATAAAAAAAGTTTAACTTTTTGATTAAAACACTCAGTAGTTGACTGTCAATAAATATCTCAGTGTGGCTGATATTCCTATATTTATGAATTCTTACTAAGTCCTTTACTTTAGGTCTACTCAGTTACTACATTACTGACCATTTACATCTACATTTCTCATGGAAACCATATATACAACCCATTACAAAGTTAACTTCTGTTAATGTTGCCTTCTTTTATTTTTCTCATCAGGATGATGATTGTTTTATGATTGCTCATCAGGATGATGATTGAAGGAATCAATAAAATACTCCTGATTTGTTCAAAGTTTTTTGTCCCTTCATACTCAAAAAATTTTAATTCATATAGATTTTTTCTTTAAATTTAAATCAATGGTTTGGAATTCTCTCCAGTCATCATGTTTTCCTGATTCATATAATTTACAGCTAATTTAAGCTTCCAACTTCATATAATTGATGTTCTACTTCTTTTTTCTTTTACTGTTTTTCTTTGCTTTTTAGATATCTTCTTTGCTTTCCCAACTTAATTAGTGGTTGTTTGCAGCCTTATTTATCTTGTTTAAAAAAAAATTGTGTAAACACCTAACTTGATTGTTAGGTGTTTACTTGATTATTAGGAATTTGATTATTAGGTATTTACTTGAAATCAGTACTTTTTTTTCCTACCCAAGACTATGGGGACCATTACAGTCAAAAGTACACTTTTTTTTCTTAAATTGTTGTTACAACCCTCAGTTAACCCTTTAACTCTGAAAATACAAGCCTTGAAAAACAAGGCTGCACAGAGAAACAGGTTGTCTGCTCTACTACTAGGAATGTAGTAAGTAACAACTCCTTCTTGAGTAGCAAAAAGACCTAAAACAATTTGTAGCCACTTTAATATCACAAATATTAAATATAAATAACACATTTAGTATGCATACCTTTCCCTGTTTATCAACAATTTTCATTGGACCATCTTTTATAATAAATCTTTGACTCGGAGAAGGAAGCCCAGGAATAGATGCTTTTAAATCCAAATTACAAAATTCTGTTGCTAACTAAATTGGCATTTTAACCGTATATTTAAAAGACAGAAATCCATTTAAAAAACAGATAAATCCATTACTATATTGAATGTTAATATCATTAAAAATAAATGTAGTATATTAAAATAAAAATATACAAGAGAAAAATATAATAAAAAATATGTAACAAAATAAAAATATATAAAATGTAACATACTCTTTCAACTTCATCACTGCATGGTACTGCTTCCATCGGATTATAGGTATCAAACTTTGCCAATATGCTTAAAATTTTTTCCTGTTCCTGTCTTAAATGAACAGCAGCATTAATTTTTGAAACAAATGTTTCTACTCTCGACATCTAAATAAGTAAACAAGTGATGAAGACCCTGTGGTCAGTATAAAACAAGCAGAATAGTAGAAATAAAAAAATTTATATAAGATAATCAAAAAATGAAATCAAGAAAATTAATTTTTTAATATCAACCAACAAAATCACGACTATTTAAGACTATATATGAAATACTTTATATGATTATTAATTTTTATTTGAAAATATTGTTTTCTTGTTTATAAAGTTCTAGCTCTTTTAAGACCCAAGTTAAAATGCTTTTAGAAAAAATAAATTTAACTGATATATGGTACACACAGTATAATAAAGGTTGATGTGGATTGACTTTTAAAAAAGTAAACGAATTACTTGTAACAGAAGTTCATGTTTTTTGCACAGGAAACAACAAAGACATACAGGAACAACAAAAACATAAAGGAACAATAAAAATATACAGGGAGCAACAAAAAATTACAGGAACAACAAAATGTTATAACCCAAGTAAACATTCATTAGAAGTTGGAAAATATTTGCTGGTATTTATTTACAGTGGCGTGCTGGCCCCAGAGGCTATGCGGAAATCCCACTTAGGCCTATCACATTTATCCTAAAAGGGCCTTTTTTTGAATTTTTATACCCTTTACTGCATTCTGAAAATGATTCACAATGATATTTATTTGCTTTATTTTTTATTCCACAAGTTAAATTCTTTAACAAATCTCTGATTCAAACTGTTGGACTTCAAGCACATATATTAGTATTTTGCATAATAAAATGCAACCGTTTGTAAGTCGATATTGGAAAAAATAATTGATTGTTATGTCACATAAACTGCTTATTACAGGGGTGGGACCGCAAAATGTGAACGCTTTTCTGATTGTAATAATTAATTTTCTGTTAAATATGAACTATTTTAAATAAGAATGTCCAATGGTTGGACATTCTTATTTAAAATAGTTCATATTTAACAACTCTTTAGACACTTTCTGATGAGTGAGAGAGTACAACTACATCTAACGAGAAAATAGTTATAATAAAACAAAAACGTTCACATTTTGCAGTCCCACCCCTGTATATCAGTTGTTATATAGATAAAATTATTTAAGTTAGCCAATAATTATTATCAGAAATAATTGTGTTCATTTTTAAACTATGGAAAAATATTCATATTGATAAAGTTTTTGTTAAATTAGAACAACTAATTGTTTTACGATTAATGCTTCTTCATAAAAAAAATAGTAACATTTTTAAATATAAATTATTTGTGTGAGTTTTTATAAAATTGCTGTTATTGTGTGTTCTACAGAAAAAATATTTAACTATTTAAAAAGTAGTTAAATATTTTTTCTAGAAAGAATAAATAAATAAAATAAATAAAGACAAGACAAAAATAAAGATTAATAGAGGAATATTTAAAAATATATATGAATAAATAAATAAAGCATTTTATTTTAATTTGAAAGTATTCTAGATACGTTCATTTCAGGGACCGCAAATACGTTGAAACTAATATTTAACATTATAAACTTTACCTTTATTTTTTAACGCTAATGGACACTTACTCTTGTACTAACGCTTGTACTTTATAAATAATTTTTCATCACTTCTCTATGGCTCAGGGTGTTCCATATAGCACACATTTTTTTCGTGAGCGAAGATTTACAAATACTTATAATTTATCAATCTTTAAATTAATAGTTATTAAAATAATTATATATATCTATATATTTTAATAATACGACTAAATAATGGTACAGTTACTTATATTATATTTTAGTAATACTGCCGTATTACTAAAATATGATATAAGTTTTCTTTTGAAAACTTTGTTTATATAACATAAAATATAATAATTCTTGTATATGTAATAACGCTAAAACAAAAATATATTTTATATATATATATATATATATATATATATATATATATATATATATATATATATATATATATATATATATATATATATATATTTAGTATAATAATATATATACTTTTTTAATTTTAACGTTAATGTTTTTAAACAATAAAATAGAAATACTATTTGGTTACCATAAAAACGCGATGAAATTTGTTTATTTTCAGGAATGTAAACATAAAACGTGCTTGCTGCAGCACGGTGCCATTTTTAATTCTAAGGAAATCGGTTGCTTTAGTATGTTGATTTAACTGGATAAGGTCAGTTTTTTATTGATACAGGGGTGGGACCGCAAAATTAATTATTACAATCAGAAAAGTGTTCACATTTTGCGGTCCCACCCCTGTATATATATATATATATATATATATATATATATATATATATATATATATATATATATATATATATATATATATATATATATATATATATATATATATATATATATATATATACATACATATTTAAATATATATACAAATGTGGGCCTCTTCAAATCAAGCATATTTGGCAAAATCCCACATATATGGGCCTTTTTAAAAAATCTTGCATGTGCTTTTTGGAGCCAGCACGCCCCTGTTAATTTAGAAATTCAAATAATTTTTAATTTTAATATTTACCATTTCTTCTAACATTGCTTTATCATTGAGATCATCAGTTTTACTGAGAACTGCTCTCAGCAACAAAGAGTATTTTGTAATTCGCTGCAAAGGTTTGATAAGAAATCCAGAAAGCTTTAGACGCATGCATTTCTCATGGGCATCACACCACTAAAAAATATTAAATAAAATTACTACAAATAGAAAGAAAAAATGCATAAAAAATGGCAAACATAAAACAAATAATGAAGAGGCTTTTCTTTTTTGTAATAAGATACAAAAATATTGTACAAAAACTTTCAACTTACAGATAGATATTGTTTGAGTAATAAATTTGTTTGCTCAGAGTAAATTAGGTACTTCTTGTTACAGGGATCTTCATTAAAAAACTCAATATAAGGTTGAAATAGAATTTCAAACTAAAATTTTGTAAAAAAAAAAGTGTAAAAGCATTTAATATATAGCTTAGTAAGACATTAAAAAAATCTACTTAGTTAGATTTACAAAACTTTGTTAAAAAAAAGATAAGACTTTTAAACAAATAGAAACTAAAAGAAAACCAAAATCTGGAAATCAAAAAATAAATAACAAAAATTGTTTTATTTTGATGTGCATCACTATTTTTGTTTAACTAAACAAAATATTTAAAATTAACAAAAAAAATTTTTTTTATTTTTCTACTTTTCTGTTTTTGTCTACTAAGGGAGAAAAAAAAAAAAAAAAAAATACTTTTTCAAATGCTTTTAGCAATATGTTAGTTTTAAAAGCTATCTTGGTAGCACGAGCGTTTTCAAGAGCTGGTTTAAGACTGTTCCAGAAAGTGACATTGACATTGTAGATTTCTTCAATATTTGCAAAAATTGCATATGGTTCAACCTCTAATAGATAACCATCTTTTCGAAGTAGATCCAAACATCTTTTAAAGATCTAAATTATTTAATTATTTTTTATTATCCTATAAAATTTTTCAAATTATATTAAACAATACTTAGTAATAATGTGATAATTAAATTTATAATTTAATTATCACATTATAACTTTATAAATATACATTACTTATAATAAAACTACATTTAAATGATAAACATATAACTGAATTAAATGACATAACTATATAATATTATTATTAGCTATATTATATTAAGTTTGATAATTTATCTTTATTTTTTCCTTTACTTTTTCAAGCATCACAAAGTTTTTATTTTACGGTGAATTTCATATTTAATATGAAAAAGATTAAAAGCTGTGTTTGTGAAAATGATTTTATGAATTGACTTTGTTTATGAAAATGATTAAAAGGTGTGTTTCAGTGTTTTCTGAAAGTTGTTTCACTTAAATGAGAGTTGTGTCACTCAATCTTTTTTATTCAAAAGTGTTTGTCTTGCAACATTAGAAAATATTTTTTTGAAACCAGAACAAAATTTCAAGAGCCATAAATGGGGCAAAAGGATTAAACTGAGGTCACTGCTCAAATCAAATATTCCATCTTTTTTAATAAGCATTAAGTACACACATACCTTATCAAATAAAAATAAAAGTTTCTCAAATAAATCTTTTATTTATTTAAGAAAACCCATTTTACTTTTTTAAATACTTGAATATAATAAACTTAGAAAATTACCATAATGTATTATGTCACTTAATTAACACTAAAGTATAAAATGTTATTACAAGTATACAAAGAATAAAATAAAATACCACTTAAATTAAGACTAAAGTATGAAATGTTATTACAAACATATAATTAATAAAAAATAATGTCTTTTAAATTAACACTAAAGTATGAAATATTATTACAAGCATATAATGAATAAAATTACCAATCTTTAAGTTATTACATTTTAAAATTTAAACAAAAATTAAATAATCATTTATTGATAACTAATCTATTACTTCCTACTATATTTACTTCCTACATAAATTTTTCCTTAATTAGTTACTACATTAATTCTTTAATTACTTGCAAGTTTTTTATATCACAAATTAGTATTGCTGGTATGAAGCCTTTTTCTTTTGTCAAAAAAAAAAGTAATGTTTTGTGTAATGACAAGTACAGTTGGTTTAAAGAGCAATCGAGAAACAACGGTATATTAAAACAATAATGAAATTTTTTTTTTTTAATTAAGTTTTATTAATTGGTACCAATTTAAAAATTATTTTAAAAAATTAGGTCAAAATATCTCCATATATGTTCCATTTTTAATGATAGACTTTATTGCTGGGGCTTCACGATTCTAAAAATTAACAACGCAACTTGTGCGTCAATTTCTGCACCTTGTCCTAGAAGAAGTTGCACAAGGTCAAGATGTTTATTAACAGCTGCAAAATGAAGAGCTGTTCTTCCAATAGCGCATCTAGCATTGATCTGTTCTGCTGAACGACTCAATAAAATACTTGTCACATTCGCATGACCTTCTGCTATTGCCATATGAATCGATAGCAAACCCTAAAGCAAAGTAAATAACTAGGATAAAAAAATTTTACTTGCAACTTATGATCTAGGTTTATCATCATTTGTAATTAATAACAATTTAAAAAAACCTTTTTTGATGTTCTCTGAGAGTTATTTCTCTTCTTAATGATAGACCACCAATCACTGGACAATATTATTGATATAACTTGATTGTTCAACATCCTTGTAGAAAACATATACAATTCTTTAATTTAAGATAAATCAACCCAGGTAAAAAATCAATGTAATGGTTGTAATGCCATTCTTCAGCCTTATCTTCATTTTCAATTAGCAGAATTTCTCTGAGAGTTAACACATGTAAGAGAGTTTCTCTATTAAGTTTTATAATAAAAGCGAGTTACTTTGATAACATAAACTTGCTATATAAATACCCTGATCCCAATAGATATCAATTTATTAAAAAACTTGAGCATATAAAATTGCTGAATGGTCACATTGAAGTACATTATAATAAAGGAGAATTATTCATTGAACAAAGCATATTTTGACAGTTGTCAAGACAAGAATAAAGATTAATAGAGGAATATTTAAAAACAAATAAGACAGACAATGCACCTAAAACAGTACTTAACAATAATAATAAAAAAAAATTGTTTAATAAACACTAATATGAACGAAGATATACAACTTATATAACACCAAACAAAAACTTATAAAACAAAAAATTGATTACAAAATAAAAAGTATGCTAACAACAATGGAAGGCCTCAGAATAGAAAAAAAAACATTAATGCTAATGTGTTAACATAACTTGTGTAGTGATTAAGTAATAAACATCTCCTCAGAGTCGCGTCTATTATTACTGGCGTTTCAATAAGAATCAGCACTTATAATTAGTTTATCCTGTCAGACAAATGTCATCGCCACTTATGCTTTACCCCGCAACTTACGCCTATTCCATACTGCAGTAAAAAAGAACTCACTACAAATAGCCAAAACTCAGCCATCCCCAAATTTGTAAAGCACCAATAAATTTTTTTTGATGATATGATATTAAAAGTGTAGACCTACTAAACAAACAAAAATAAAAATAACTAAATAAATTAAGCTATCAGCAGCTTGTGGTAACGTTGAATAACACAAAATAATTTTTTTAACAGAACCTTAATAAGGATAATAACCATTTAATAACAATAAATATAACACAAAAAATAATTTATAGCAATAGACAAGCTTAAAATATATGAAATATTTTATATTTTTAATGCGAACTTTGCAAAATTTAGAAAATAAAATAACTAAAGAATTCTAAAGTAATTTATGATGAAAAAAAACTTTTATGTAAAACAAGTAATTAAAGTAACTAAAAAAAATCTTTAATAATCTATAATAATAATTAAAAAAATTTTTTTAATTTAATTAAAAAATAAAGATTTTCAGATTTTTTATCGAAATTCTACAATGACGTCATTTACTTAAACTCTTTGGAGTTAAACGCGCTTGAATAAATTATAAAGTCAGTAGATTGCGGCAAAAATTTTAAAGACCTTGAGAGAATTGCTACTGTGGAGACGGCAAGCTTCAAGTAAAACAACAAAGTTTGTTTTTGTTGGTATACATTTATTATTTTGTTTTACTTGAAAAAATTCTGCCCAAACATTTTTTTTATCATTCTCTTTAAAATAAACACAACTTGTCACTGCACTTTGAGATCCCTTTAACATTAATGCTAATGTGTAAACATAAGTTGTGTAGTGATTAAGTAATAAACATCTCCTCAGAGCTGCGTCTATTATTACTGACGTTTTAATAAGGATCAGCACTTCTAACTAGTTTATCCTGTCAGACATGCCATTGCCACTTATGCTTTACCCTGCAACATTACATCAGGCTGTTTTGTGTAATGACAAGTACAATTAGTTTAAAGGGATCCCCAACTGCCGAGACAAGTTGTGTTCATATTAAAAAATATTAAAAAAAAAACATAGGGGCCTAATTTTTTTGATTAAAACTATATAATGAACGTACACCATTAAATTTAAAATTCATGTCTTAGTTGAAGCTCGCCGTCTCCATTTTTTTTTTTGGTTCTCGGAGTCTGTATAATGTTAGCCGCAATCTGCAGACTTGATAATTTATATCATACGTGTTTAATTCATAACAGTTTCGGTATATGATGTCATTGTATAAATTTTTTCTTTCAAGATGCCATATTATTATTTTTTTTTTGCCACAGTCACCAAATCATGTTAATTGTATAACTTTTTACTAAATCCCCAAAAAAAGTTAATGATGAAATTAAGAATTAAATTTATAATATATAAAAATAAAAATTTAATATATAGCGAATATTTACAGTAAACGTACTGGTTTAAACTAAATATAAACTAAATGCTAAAAGATACTAAAAGAATAATTTCACTAAAGCGTATAAGTTAATTTAAAGTATCAACTAAATAAAAAACGAGTGACTTGAACAAAACATATAAACTGAAAAAAGTAGAAAATAAATATTAAACAAATTATTTTACTAATAACCGTTCAAGTCAAACTAAATTAAAGATAAAACAAATATAGTTATAATATAAATATAAAAACAAAGAATCCCATTAAATTGTTCGCTAACAGAAACAAAAATCTTTTTGAAGCAACTGCACATTTTTTTGAATAACATTTGAATAGCATAACATTGACAATTATTTAAAATTCGATAATAATAGATTTTAACATGCATCATTAAACTATAAGAAATGCAAAGTGCTTAAAACTATTGTTTTTATAAGTAGTAACTAATTAATTAAAACGTTAAGTGCAAAACAAACCTAATTTAATGAATAAAAATAATATTTTTTCTTCAAAATACTTTGGTAATTACTCAACTAAATACTTAACACTTCTACAAGATAAGTGTTAATGCTGTTTTATTTTATAACTAAGTTTTTTTTTATGAAGGATTATTCAAGATTTTTTAACTTTTTTAGAATTACACAATATAGGTCTTGATTATGTAGAGAATTTATTAAACATTTAGAACGAACAAATTATATGTGTCTAGAATGGAAATTTATGTACAAAAAAAGATAAATTGTAAAGCATACTCGAAAGCCAGTGGCTTAATAAAAGTGAAAGAGTTAAACCATAACTAAACGAAAATTAAACATAAAACAAACAACTCTATTAAACTATATGAACTAAATATAAAATGAGAAACCGCATCATACTGCCTTTATTTTTTCTCTGCCACCCAAATCTAATAATCACAAAATATGTATAATTGTGTCATGATTTTGGCTTGCTTGTATATATATATATATATATATATATATATATATATATATATATATATATATATATATATATATATATATATATATATATATATATATATATATATATATATATATATATATATATATATTTGTATAATTTTTTAATAAATCACAAATATTTTTTGTGATTTAGTAATAAATTATACAAATATTTGATTTTTTGATTGTAGTAGAGTAAAAAATACTTATATCTTTAAAAAAAACAATAACAAAAAAACGTTATCTTAAAAAGATATTGCGATGACGTCATATACCAAAACACTCATGGAACAAATTATCAAGTCTGCAGATTGCGGCTAACATTATACAGACCCCAAGAACTAGAAAAAATTGGAGAAGGTGAGCTTCGACTGAAACGATAATTTTAATTTTGTTGGTATGCATTCATTATTAAGTTTCAATTAAAAAAATTTAGCCCATATGTTTTTTTAAACATTTTCTTTAATATGAACACAACTTGTCTTGGCAGTTGGGGATACCTTTAAAGAGCTATTTCTCTAAGAGTTAACACATGTAAAAGAGTTTCTCTATTAAGTTTTATGATCAAGGTTGTTATTATGAGTTACTTTAATATCATAAACTTGTTATATAAATGCCATGATCCAAATAGATATAAATTTATTATATAAATTAAAAAAAGAGCAAAGAAAAATTGATATTTCTAAAAAAAAAATTTGTATTTAAAAACTTACTTTAATTATAATTTCAAGATCTTTAATATATCCAACTTCTGTTGTAAAAATTTCAAAAATAGATTGCTGTTGTATCAACAATCTTTTATTTTCATCACTGTGAGGAATATCAACAACATCATTCCAAGCACTTTCAAGGAAAAAGTCATTTTTTGAATCTTTATTTTCAATGTCATCTTCAAATCCATATGTTGAAAACCGATCAAGTAAATCCAAAAAACGTTTGTTAATATCCTAATATTAAAAACTTTGTAATTCATTCAAGAAACTTGCATTTTTTATAAAGCATTTTATTATTATTGCAAAATATTATTATTATAAAAAAAACAAAGCAAGAAAAAACAAGAAAAAAAAAACATAATCTACTCTTAGAATTAGCACTCAGTTAAAAATGTCAGAGGTCATCGAACTTTCCAACCTCATTACTATGTTGTTATGGTACAACCTTTGTGCTAAAAATGTTTTGCTGACCGGATGCTGACCAAAAATAGTTTAAGGTTTGCATTTTATTGGCAGCCTTTAATTATTTTCACACAACTTACCTGTTGTTGATGAGTTCATGTTGTGTTACTACTATTGATTGTTGATGATCTTGAGTTAATGTTAATATTAGGTTGTTGGTAAAATGCGAACTGCGAACCGGTAAAATGCAAACTTTTTTGCGAACCAAAACATTATATTTTAGAGACCATTATTGTTATGATAAAAATAATAATAAAAAAACTCTCCAATTCTTAATTATCTATTTTAAGGCTTTATTTAAAGTAAATTTTTTATTTTTTAACTGTAAAACATGCGTAGAGCGTTGCTACATCGACTATCTTATAGCCTGACTCGTAACGGAATGCTGCTACATCGACTATCTTATAGCCTGACTCGCAACGGAGTGCTGCTAAATCGACTGAGGGTTTGGTTTGGGCGGGCAGTCTATCAAATAATTTAAAAAAAAAATTATTATATTGTATTTTTTTAAGTTTCACTTAATTTCCTTTTATTTATTTTTAATTAATTTTTTCGCTTAAAAGTCCTTAAAATATACCGTTAAATGAATTATTTAACGGAAATAAAACATTACATCATTAACAACCAATAGGACAATGGTTCGCAAAAAAGTTCGCATTTTACCGGTTCGCAGTTCGCGGTTCGCAGTTCGCATTTTACCTAGTACCTTAATATTATATTACTTTAAAGTCTGCAATTTATTTTTTTCAAAATTTAAAACCTTATTTTTCTAATTTCGAAGACTGCATAATATTATTAATTCCAAGGTTCGCATATTATTTTATACTATTATAATATCTTACCTGAGATTTTTTATTTTCTTCTTTCATTAAATTTTTTATTCTCTCATCAACTTCATCATTTTCTAAACATTGTGTAAATATTTTTAGTTAACTCCCACTTAAAATAAATTTATAATAGCTAAGTAAAGGTGTTTTTTGCAGAATTAATCAGCATAAAGGAAAAATTTTATTGCAATAGCTTCTTATCTCCAATTTTTTAATATAAAATTTAAACAAAAATATACAAAGAAGACAATGGCACTTTTACAACTTTTTGATATTACAAATATCAGTTGCAACTGAATATGACAAGGTTGTCATTTTTTTCTAAAATCTTGACCTTAAAGCTTTTTATTTAAAATGTTGAACATATTTAAAAGCCAGAAGTCATGTCAACCATGACTTTTGTAACCAATTCAGGTCTGATAACCCATGTCTTAACTTCATCAAGACAAGCAACAAGTCAATGCAGAACTTTAGATCACTTTATTGTACGAAGGAAAGTCAGAGGTTTTCTTGAAGAAATTCACAAAACTGAGATTTTATTACTTGCTATTACTTTGTTAATCATATTAACCACTAATTCCTGCAATTTTTTCTGGGAAACTTTGTGCAAAGACTTTTTCTGGGAAACTTTGTGCAAAGAAGACTTTTTCTGGGAAACTTTGTGCAAAGAAGACTTTTTGGTATATAATGCAGTAAAAAAAATGATGGATAATCATTTTTGTTAATAAAGTAATTAATTTTTTTATCTGCAATAATTTTATTAATTTTTTCATCTGCAATAATTTTATTTATCTGCAATAATTCAGATACTACATTTGCAATATTTTCTTTTTCAGTCTGACTCCAGAGTGGCAGAAGCTTTCTCGCAGTCCTTTAGAGCTTATCTTGCACTTGCAAATGAGAGCTACTACTGCAATGTTGCCCACATCACAAGACTTATCATATGTAGGAGAATATCATGATGCTAATTCACCAAGTTGCTGGGTTTTTTTTATATCAGTGGTCATCCTCACAATAGTGGCATGCCTTTTATTTTTTAATTTCACTTTTGATTTGAAAATGACTAAAAGATACTTAGATATGTCAAGTAAACATTCTTTCAAATATTCTTCATCTGAAAGAGATTTTCTACAACTTCTTGGATAGTCACAAGACTACTGAATGGAATGACTGGAGGCTGACAAAATAACACAAAATAGCACAAAATAAATATTTCATAATCATTTTCCTCTCAATTAAAAATTTATAATTTTTTCTTTATCCTAATTGCAGCTTCAATACTTTTTGTGCAAGTTCTTTCTTAGATCATGGAGTAGCCAGTTTTGTATAGTTATTAAAAAGTATATTAGATAAGATTCTACTACAAATGTTTGTTTTTGGAAGAGCATGACAAAGCATAACAGAAAAATTTAGTTTTATAAATAAAATGTAACAGAAAAGTACCCACTGACACATAGTATCACCAGAAACTTTTAAACCTCCCCTATTTAGTTATTTCAAGTAACTGTCATACATTTTATAATAAATAAAAGTTTCTTCAAAATTATCCATTTTGTTTTATGAACAATGTATCCAATGTATATTATATATAAACAAACTCCATTTTGCTGTCTTGTTTCATAGACTTTTTAAAGTCATTAAGTGTCAAAAATGTCAAAAACCTTCTTCAGTTAGTTAATTTCTAAGAATGATTTAAACTAAAAAGAAAGTCATAAAAGTCTGCAAAAATCTTAGTAGTAATAAAGCATAAATGAGACTTTTCTCAAAAGTTTATTGCGCAGAAATAAAGTAGACACCACCAGCACCCTTAATTTATCTGTTAAGGCTTTCTCTAAAAGATCAATTAAAAAATCACCAAGCATAATGAACTGATGATTTTGAATAATTTAAAGCTAGTTAAGTCTATTAAATCTTCTAATATTTGCTGTTGTCAAAGTTAAAGCTTTTATTTTATTTTTACCATTTTTTGCACCAATATTTTTGAACATTTCTGCTATTTTTGATGAATGCTGTAGACAATTATCTTTAGCACTTCGAATGATGCAAAGGAAACTTTATCAGACATTCTTGGTACATTTATAACTTTCTATGCATCAATAAAAGTTTGCAGAAAAGCAATACTCCCTTTAACTTGCTTCTGATTTATAACTGGTTTGGTTTTAAAGCTGTCAGGGTTTCTTGACAAAAAACATGTATTACTAGTTTCATATTTTGCCTTTCTACAGGCTTTGGAAATATGGCTAACTCATTTAGATGAGATAACGTAATAAGCGAGTTTAATTCTAACAGTTTCTCAAGATCTTTCCCATCAGCAACTAATTCCTCAGCTTCACCAAATTTAATCTCTTTAGTCTTTTAGGTAAGCCAATTGTTATGCATATTCTTCCATAAGTGAACATAATCATATAACAAAAATATAACTGTTTTAATTCTTGAAGATTTATTTTGTATGGTATTAAAAGAAGTGTTCTTGCAAGCTTCTTTGGGTTATCATGAGCATGACCATTTTTTCATCAAGAACATGTGACAGTTGCTTTATTGTATACCTCATCAACTGTTATAATGTATGTAAGTAAGTATGAGTGTTCTCTTTGAAGCTGTGAAATATTTTGGAAATTAAAGACATAATATCAAGTTTGTTAAAGATTGTAAACTAGGTTGCTGAAAATCATTTCTTAAACATTTGTAAAATGCATATTTTAAATATATTTGTAGATACAGCCATATACTCAAAGACTTGAAAAATAATATCTTTTTTTTTTTTTTTTTTTTATTTGCATTCACTCCCAACAAGACTGCAAGCAACCACTGTTAAGTTGGGAGTTACTAGGAAAAAAAAAGAACAGAGTTATAGAGCAAGAAAACGGTTGACGGAAGACTTAAAAAGTTGAAGGTTGTATGAGTCAGGAAAACATGAAGATGGGAAAGAGTTCCAAAGAATTGAAGTGTGGGGAAAAAAACTAGATGAATAAAAGTTTTTAGAGCATGCAGGGACAGATACAGAAAACGAATGAGACTTAGCTGAATGACAAGTAAAACAAGAATGAATTTTAGTTGATGGAACTAGAGATGGTAACTCCTTTGAGCAGTGACCATGATAGTATCTGTAGAAAAGAGAAAGAGATGCAACTTTACGACGATGGGAAAGAGGTTCAAGCTTAGCAGATAGTCCAGGTCCAACAACATTTACAATGCGTTTTTGGACCTTGTCAAGAAGAGAGAGTGAATCGTTAGAAGAACCAGCCCAAAGATGACAACAGTATTCCATACAGGGACGAATAAGAGATTTGTAGAGGTAGAGAATGGAATCAGAAGTAAGGAAATGGCGAGCACGATAAAGAGAAGCAACCTTAGCAGAAGCTAATTTAGCAATCAATTGTATATATGGTTTCCATGAAAGGTCAGTAGTAAGCGATAATCCAAGAAGACGTAAAGAGGACAACTCAGTAAGAGGATTGCCATTCATTAATATAGGAATGTTGACCATATTACGGTAGTTGTTTGCAGTAAGCAATTGGGTTTTTTTAGAGTTGAAATTCACAAGCCACTGTGAACCCCAATCTATTACTGAAGTGAGATCAGATTCAAGATCAGCTGCTTGTTCTAGGCGATCGAAAAGAGAAGACTTTTTGTCAAGACAGGAGTATAAAGTTGAGTCATCAGCAAAAAGAGCTACTTTAGATGAAAGGTTGTCAGGAAGATCGTTTATGTAGATAAGAAACAAAACAGGGCCCAGGATGGAACCTTGGGGAACCCCAGAAGTTACTGGAAATAAAGAAAAGTGTTGGGCTTCAAGGATGACTTTAATAAACCGGTCAGAAAGAAATAATTTGATAATCTCAAAAACTTTCCCAGAAACACCATATGAAGCAAGCTTATGGAGAAGACCAGCATGCCAAACTTTGTCGAAAGCTTTAGATATGTCGAGAGCAATAGCCCTAGCCTCACCGCCTCCATCTAATGCACGATAAAATCTTTCAGTTACAGCAGTTAGCAAGTTGGCCGTAGAGCGAGAGGATCGAAAACCGTATTGATTGTCTGACAGCAGTTTATTTGACTCAAGATGAGATGTGAGGAATTTGTTGATCAAAGACTCAAAGACCTTGCTAATAACAGAAAGAAGACTGATCGGACGATAATTGGAGGGGTCAGAATTTGCTCCAGAGTTTTTGAATATTGGAACCACAGATGCCATTTTCCAACAAGCAGGAAAACAAGACTCAGTCAAACACTTGTTAAATAGTTTAGAGAGAATTGAAGAAAGTTCTGGAGAACAATTCTGCAAGACTGTGACAGGAATGTTGTCTGGACCACAAGCTGTAGACGAGTTTAATTGAGATATGACTTTAGCAACAGAAGCCGGAGTGATTTGAATGTCTAACAATGGGTCAACCTGTTTGACTGGAATGGAAGGAAGAGAATGTCCATAAGATTCAAGAGTGGAATTAGAAGAAAAGTTCTTTGCAAACAGTTCTGCCTTATCCCTGGGAGAGGTAACAAGATCAGTCCCATGAATGAGAGATGGAATGTTAGATCTACCCTTGTTAACAATGCTGTTGAAGATTTTCCAAAAGTCTTTAGAGCCTAACTTCTGCGATAAGATGCGAGATTTAGTGAACTGAGAATAATGGAGTTTAGCATCAGAAAGCACCTTTTTACATCGATTTCTTGCAATAATAAATAGCCGTTTGTTCTCAAGAGAGTTGTTCTTTTGAAAAAGATGAAAAAAATGGTTACGATTGGATATAGCAGCCGCACAAGAAGGAGAAAACCATGGAGTAGAATGAGGCTTGACTTGAAACCGACAAGAAGGAATAAAAGCTTCCATTCCAGCCTGAATCCAGGAGGTTACGTAGGAGGCACATTTGTCAGCTGAGAGAGAAAAAACATCAGCCCAAGGACCATCACGAAGAAAATCACGAAAGGAATCCCAGTCAGCTTTAGGGTAGTAGTAGGTGGTGCAATGATAAGGTGAGCCCAAAAAAGAAGTACCAGAAGAAAGATTTATAGAGATCATTGCATGGTCAGAACCACCTAAGAGAGAAAAGGGAGAAACTGAACATAAGCTAGGGTCAGA